GGAGCCGGCCCGGTTTACTTTGGACGGGGAGGGAGGGTGGGAGCTCCCGCACACCTGAATTTTCCCCCTTTTTGCGGTGGGTTTGTTCCTTCAAACAGAAGGTGATTTCAGTTTTCTGAGCTTTCAGCAGCAAATAGTTCTCCAACAACGCTGTTCATCAAACCTACTCACTTGGTTTATTTTTCCAAGGGAAAAAGGAACAAACAAATAAGGAAATGAAAAAATGTGAAAATACTTAAATATTATTACAATTATAGTCAGAAATAAAAAAGTAAATCAACTGCACTGAATTTCCTATTAGCTTTTAAATATTCACCTCAATATACATTTGTTCTTTAGGACACACAAGAGATAAATAATTGAGTTAACATTGCTAGATAAATTAACTCTTTCCTGAGTTGCAAATATTCCAGATTATAATCTTGAAGCTGCCATCCAATAACTACAAATGGAAACTAAACAGACCAAAGTGAGCAAGCAGGAACCTGCACTTGAGTACCCAGAGGCCCAGTTTACTGAGACATAAGTAGCACCCCATCGTTTCAGATCAGTAACTCAAGACTGAATGGCTCTTGAATCTAAAACCCAGCTTGGCCAGGAGGTGCAGGAGCAGCTCGGTATTTTGGCTTGTGCTGTGAACAGCATCAAAGCGCAACAAACAAAACCCACCAGAACCAAGCCCCACAACCATTTTGGGTATCTGTGGTTTTAAATGTCTATAAACAGATTGTGTTGACTCCCTCAGCCACAGGTAGTGGGGTACTTAGTTCCGTCTTTGTCCTTCCCCTTATCGCTGAGTACAAGGGTGGAGTTCATACTGCACAGCAGTACTTATTCCTTAACACTGCCCCAGCCTCTCTTAGTTGGGAGATCAACTACAACAGTCCGAACTACTCGTATACAATCCCCATTAGTGCTTGTGGGTGGGAGCAGACAGAAGGAATTAACAGCTTCAGTGCTTAAATCCTGTTGTAAGAACCAGATTTTTGTGACCTGCAGACTTTAACAGCACCAGGACAACAGGTAAAGTCAGACACAGCAAAAAAAATAAAATTGTTTTATGGCTAGAAGCGCTAGCCACTCGTGTATATGTGGGCATCTGCTTTCATGCTTCTTCCTTCCAAGCCGGGCCAACTCCTGATCAAAAGGAAAGGTAAAAATAGGAGCAACAAGAATCAGCTACACAGACCTCTTCTGGGCTTTTATTTTATCAGAACAGCTGTTGGATGTCTGCCTTTGCGTGTCGTGTCGGTGACAGAAGCGATCAGCTACGCTGCAGTATGCATCAGCACCATTGCTCTTGGGGGTTTTTTTTTCGAAGCCTAGCAGAATAGCAGGGTCTATGTACAAGCTTCTCTTTCAGCAAACTTCACAGAAGAAACAGCAATGTGGGAACAAAGTTAGCTCCCAGGTTGGGCACTCTGTTCCAGCTATGAGAAAACTGGAATCTGACTGTCTCAGCTTTGAGTATGTTTCAGTGCACATGTACTTTGATCAAAAGCATGAACCCTTATCTGTAGTAAAAACAACGTTCTATGGCAGCCAGCTAAAGATTGACAAAATGCCTCCAATCAGATTATAGGACAAATTACCCTCGAGTGGGAGAGAGGGATGGACTATCCCAACTGCCCTTTGGGTTTATGAACTCTACTCATTTACCTCTATCCACCCTTCTTTTAGACAGCTGCCACTGCCTTCTGGCACTGCATCAGGAGTGTCAGTGGTTTATTGCCAAGACCACAAGGAATCTGAGTGTTTGCTTTAATGCCAGAACCTTGGCAGGGACAGAGCTGCAACCACACTAGGTTGCCTTGGTGGAAGTTTTTGACTCCAAACTTTTGAGCTTCTCATCTAGAAGACTGAAGGTTGACAGTCTCCACTGCAAGGAAGATGCTCCAGGCCAGTTCTGTTCTCCCTTTCCCCACTACTTGCAAATTTTATATGCATCAAGTCAAGCTGGAGCAGGATTGCTAATAATTTGTTTTTTCTATTTTTCTCAGTGAAATAATGGAGACTCATTAAGCCCAGCATTGGAGGGAACACCCCCTCTCCACATCTAACACACTAGAAATGTATGATGAAGCTGGAGGCCTCTAAAACTACTTCCAGATATCGAGAACCTACAGATAAGTTCTTCAGATAGCTCCTGTACATGTTCTGAACCTACACAGCCCAGAGCACACACCTTCCCACAGCACAACACATCTAGTCTCTAAGGGCAGAGCATAAAAGCCAGAGGAAAACAACGAAGGTTCATCTTCCAGCCACTCCAGCAATTTCTGAAGTTATTATAAATGGCAGAGGAGTGTCACAAACACTTCATGCATGCAGAGAGATATATTTTAAATAAGCACTCAAAAGATTAGGAAAAGGCAAATTTGCCTGTAGGGCTGATATTTCAGGAGTGCTTGGTACCATGCCACCTGCTGAGACTACAGTGAGCCATTGACATCAGCATGCTCTCCTGGAAAAGACATTTAAAGTAGCAAAAAGCACATATCATGGGTTAGGGTACTCCACGGAGACTACAGCAAACAAAGGAAGATGGATGGAAATCAGTGCTTTGGTCCCCACCCAAAGGACAAGGAGACTGACTGGCCACAACAACCCCTTTTCTAACAAGTGTGCACACAGCAGCTGTGGCACAGACAAGGATGTACAGCTTGAATTTTCCTCTGTGAAAGATGCTAGGACTTGTAGTCAGTATGTTGATATATTTTCCAGAAGAACTTGAGGGTAAACAAAGCGCAACACTGCCAAGAAAGGGCGTTCATCTCTCACCAGAAAATGGTGACAAGTATCCTGCTTACCTTGGATGGTGGAATTCAGGAAAAACTTAAGATGATGACAATGTTTGAGCAACTGGTTACCTGGCCCTCCCGATCTCTGCACAGCACTGGCAACTACTGTGAGCAACTACATCGCTCTCTCCATCCAGAAGCATCAGCAAACTAAAAATAAGGCTTGCTCAATGATAAAAGTAAGAGAGAGCGTGCATTCCAAAAAACACTCCTAGGTTCAGTTCCAGAAACAGCCATGTTTAAAATGACATTCATAAAACTTCATTTTTTGTTTTGTTTTGCTTTTTAATGGCTAAGTGACCTGCCTCCCTTCATACACACTGGGGGCAGCACACGAAAGGACCGCAACAAGCACTTTGGGAACTTGCTCATACGTGCAGGCCAGGAACAGTGTTTCCAAAAATAACAGCTGAAAAATGTGAAATAAGACCCTGAGATGCAGGTGAACATGGGAAAACACCCCCAAATCCAGAACCCATCTGGAAGTGAAAACTGAGGAATGCAGATTGAAGGGATTACAGACCAGAGCTAAGCAGAAGCCGGGCTGCTCTTGGTATAAATCAACCATCTCGTTTAAATACATGGAACAGAACAGAACATGATCCTGCAGCAGCTGGGACTGTAGAACACCCCTTAAAAAACAAGCAAGAGTTTAGCACAGAGCGGTGGCAGCTGTGAATTGTTAAAAGGACCCTAAACTTTAAGAGAAACAAAATATGCAGCAAAACGCATCCTCCAATAGAGACAGGAGAGAAGCTGTCCTGGAAAGAACCTTAACGCAAGGAACCCGTTTTAACAATCCTTCCTTGTGGTGTCAATAACAGTCAGGATGGTTTCCAGTGCACCTCCTAAAGGGGACAAGTTATTGCACAGTCTAAACAGAATGCAAGAAGATGCTTGCTGCAGACACAGCTTGATGGGCAGGCCTTCCTAAAGCCAGGGAGTGAACTCGAGGAAGAGGTGCCGTAAGGAAACATGCTGATAGTGTTCTCTTTAATTTGCATGTGCACTTTTGTTTTGTCTTTTAAACAACAGCTCCGAGTCCTCATTTGCTGGGCAGAGAGAAGACGTCACTCTACGCTGTAGTTTCAGTTTCCAAGTTGGCTTGTATGGCACATGTGTCCACGAAGGTGCTGGACTTGGTTTTACACTCATAGAAGCTGCTCAGAAACAGTCGTTCAGTGTTTAAACAACCTGCACGAACTACTGAAGTCTCTGAGCCTCTCCCTCAGCAAAAGGAAAAGAAAACAGACATGGTGCGAGTCAGGGGAAGAAGGTGAAGAAAAGCACTTAAAAGGTGCATGAGAGTTAGAATTTCATTTTCTTTCTGCCTTTCTCCCCTCTATAGAGTAGCAAAGAGGAGACAGAGGAAGAGAAACAGCAGGATTCAATGGAAGGCAGAAGGTTCCTGATGGGCTCACCGATGGCTCAGAGCTGCTACGCGGGTGATGACTCACTGCTTCACTGCTGCTTAGTTTTAAGGGATAATCTCTGGATCATCTTGTAAAGGAGACCAAAGTGCTGGAAACAGAAGGAAAATAAGTAACCACGAGTCTTTATAAATTGTAATAAATTCAACACGTTCTACACAGAGAGAAAACTTACTAGAAGGCTTAAAACAATAGCAATGTGCAAATGCAGTACCTTGTTTGCATCACCCACTAGCACTCTCATCCTGAAGACAGAGTGGAACTTGGTGAATTAGGAGGAATTATTAGAATGAGGCTAGCTACTTGAAGTTGTACAGAAAGTGATGGCTTACAGAAGTGTTTGTGCAGGCCTGTATCACCTCCATTGTGAAGATGCAAACACTTGTTTAAGATTTACAGTTACTGTAGGCACCAGTCACTGTAGCTAGCATGATTTATGAGGAAAATAATACATCTGTCTCCTGCTTCTCTTCTCTTACCTGCACTGCAACATAGGCAACACCAAGGTAGGCTGCAATGCAGACAGCCAGAAGCAGGTCAAAGATTGCTGGCTTGACCCTGCAATAAAGAAAGAACACATGAAATTGCTACAGCAGGGACTGCTACAGAGTGAGGCAATAGCCTAACATGCCCAAGGGAATTCCATACCTGTATGCGTTCATCACCTGCTTCAGCTGGTCATAGAAAACAAACTCAGGGTCCCTGTGAAAAGCAGAAATTCTTCAGGTTGTATTACATTTCATGACATTGCAGTAAGTATCTCTGTTCCCAAGGAGTTCACCCAACCAGATATGGGTAAGCATGACCAACTTGAATACCAGTTTTGAACCAATTTTAGATGTCAAGTCTTTCTTCTCCTACAATCAGAAGCCTAAGGATACAATTCAGAACACATGCTGTTCACCTGTCTCAGAAGAGGCACATGCAAGACACCTCACTGGGTTCATTAAACAGCTTCAGCCCAAGCAGGTCAGACAGGACGGAAGGTGCCTTTATGCAATTAAAGAAAGCTTTATAGGAGACTTGAAGTCTTTTCCTGCATTCAAAGAGAAGCAGCTCTTTGAGTGGGAAAGGGTGAAACCAAAACAAGCTCTTCAGACAGAGGGAGCTCCTGGGGCTTCTTACAGTGCTGTGAGGAATGACAAAGAGCTTTCTCTGGAAGAACAGAGAGCATGAACCAAAACTGACAGGAGAGCAGAAAAGAGCAATCACTTCCAGCTACATGCCCAGAAGCCAGAAAAGCTGCAGCTCAGAGACAAAAATCATTGGAAGGGGAAGCCAGTTTGCATGCCCTGGCTAGCTCTTTCATTTATTTTCTTACCGTTTGTCTGCCTTTACATGATGCTGTTTGACATCCTTCAGGTAGCGACCCATATAGTATTCTAAGGTGTTGAGGAAGGTGCTGTCTTTATCAATCAGCTGGGCAGCCCTGGGCTGACTGCTCAACCAGTCCATCACTGATTCTAGTTGCTCCTGCTGGATCTGCTGCAGAAAATTACCACCAAAGAAAGGGAGTCAACCACACATATGCTGAGACCAGATCTGTCTCCCAGACTCGATTCCTTCTTCCCATAGGTTACAAAAAATGCACTGTGCTCACCATCTGATCTGTGAAGATCTGCAGATCTGCAGGTGCTCCCTGCAAGGGAAAAAAAACAAGCAAACCAGCCTATTGGCGAGAGCAAGCTTGGCTGGGCAGGACAAATCTGGTTCGTGCGGCACAACGGGCAGCTCTTACCTTGTCTGTTAGGTTGTAGATGACCCTTGTCAAAGCTTCAGCAATGATCCTAGTATTCCTGGTTAGTGCCTTAGTATCTATTTGTGCCCTAAAGCAAAAGAGGGGATTATGGACTTGTCAATGTGATCAGGTTCCTCTAGGAACCACCCTTTTTCATGCATCAAGCATAAGCCTGAAACTAGAGGCTTATCTAGTATCTTATCCCAAGTCCCAGTGTTTCTTCACCCATCCTCTGACCATCAAAACAGCACAAGCAATCGTAAGGCCAGTTTGTGTTTAGAGGCTGAATTTCAACTGCAGCCTTCCCTCAGACCTCTCACCTCCTATCCATGATGCTGTTGCGCAGGCTGTCCCGGTGGCTCTCCAGATGGGAGATGGTGAATGCTGGCAAGCGTCGGATTGCAAAGCGCTCATGCTCCCACGCCAGGATGTCCTCAGCCAAGTTTATCTTCTTGTGCACCATGGAAAACTTCACCTCTGGGAACTGGTTGGCAACAACCTGAGGGAAAGAACAAGCCATCCAGGGTGTAATGCTACCCACTGCATAGTTCCACCTTGCACTGCCTAGTCCACCTAGACTCCATGTTTTTGTGTGTTCCAGAAAGTAAATACACTTACACCTGTAAGGTGCAGTTACTGCCATTAAAACGCTGTTTTAATGACACTACAGGGTTGCTTTTGCAAGCAACAAGTCATAAGGAATTGCAGTGAAAAATGCATCAGATACAGTCTGCTTCATTTGGGACTGCAGCAGGAGGATTTGTCTGCACTTTGAATCAAGTGACCGTAAACATGACACGAAATTTTTCAATTGCACACCCTTTCTTCACATCTTCCTTCCTTCCTTCCTCTGCTGGAGAGCTGCAGCTCCCCAGAGGTTAAGTCCCACGTTCCCATCTACCAAAAATGTTTTCCATTACCATCTCCAGTTCTCTCAGAAACACATGCTGCAAGGTTCTCTCCTTGGGAGGCTTTGAGACATGGAGATGAAGGCTGTTGCCTCGGCCCAGAGTATCAAGGCAGAGAACAAATGCTACGTTGTCCTGCAGCAGGCTGGAATCTGGAACAGAAAAATCAAAACCTTTATTGCTACATTTTATGCTGGGATTTCCATCCCAAAAAACCAAGGCCCACACAAGGAGATTCTCACAGGAGGGCTGATATACCAGACACTTAATATAACTGTGTTAACAGAGGCCTTGCCACAGAACATGCTGGAATGCCAGCCCCTTACTCACCAGTGTGGTCCAAATTGTCCTCCAGCCACCGCTTGGTTCCTTGATAATTAAACTTGCCCCCTCCAGATGCAAAAAACAGCAGGTTATACCTGCCCATCAAAGAAGACAGAAAAGTGTGAGCACATTGCACTCCATGGCTACAGAACTCCTTTGCTCAGCCTTGGAGGTACCGTGAAATCACAAATCTAGCACTTGACATTCAAGGCAGACTGTCCATTAACAGATGCTTCCTACATGCCACACACCAAGGTAATGGCAAGGTGAGGTAAAAGGGGCGAGTTCCCAGTGTTTGAGGATGGAGTCTACTTCCCACATCATTCCCTCCACTTGTCCCCAAGCTTGAGCAGAGCTACAGCAAAGAAACCAAAGGAAGGAGTTTGGCCATTAACAGCAACTGTACTCGGAGGGAAACAAAACAGAGCAAAGGAAGTAAAGGACTGCTTGTAACACTCTACAGGCCTGGAGCAAAAGCCCTTCTTATCTGATCTCAGCTACACACACTCAAACAAGAATAGGGCAGGTTCTTACCCAGCATGGGTACGTCTGTAGGTGTAGAGCCGGGAAAACAGCCGGGCTAGTTCCAGTAGCACTGCGATACCACTGCCGTTGGAGTCAGCACCATGTGACAGCCACTGCAGGATGAAGTGGGACAGAGACAAGGTGACAACTTTACACTTATTCTCATGTACCAGAACAGCCTTCAAAACAGCACACCACCATGCCCCACATCTTTAAGGCCAAGAAAAAACATGGGGGCAGAGGCCACATGGGAAAAAAGGAATACAGACAGGAACAGAGAGCTGCAGGAAGAAAGAATACTCACTGGAGCCACTCCAAAAGAATCATAGTGGGCAACTATCACAACAGTGGGCAGGTCTTCTCCACCCAGCCCCGTCAGCCTTCCCTGCAGAGGAAAGAGATCAGTGTCACTCAGCATCACCTCTTGTACAAAGACAGCCTGACTTCTACGCACCTACTGAGTCTGCAGCAGCCTCAGTTCTGAGGAAGTCAGACACTGACCTGGCTGAGACTCCCCTGACTTCCCCTATCAGTCCAAGTGTCTGACAAAGTCCCAATAAAAGAAGGCATCCCAAAAACGTTGCCAGTTTCAATCCATATACAACTCACCTCCACACTGGGTATGAGCCAGTCATTGATAGCTTTGCTTTGGGCCCCGCTGGTAACCATCTGGAAGCCATTGGCAGTTGCAGTGTGCAGCAGAACTAGAAAAAGAGAAAAGTACACCTGAGGAAGTTTCATCCCTTTATTTCCTTTCCTAACTGAGCTTCGGAGAGACCAGCTTTAAACCTTTTAAGCCCCCTCACTTGTCTCTCACTCCAGCAGTTCTAGTTAATCATGGTCAGTAAGATAGTGAAGTTATTTACAGGGGAACACATGGAAGCACTGAACTGACTTGTGGTCAGACAAAAAGCTTCAGCTTCCAGCAACACACTGCAGTCATTTAACACCTTCAATGTTCTTTCTAACCTGAGTTTTGCTTTCTACCTTACTTGCAACAGTGTGAAGCTGAGAACTCAACTCCATGCAACTGACTGTATTTCCAAACACACTCAAGCAATACTCTCTCTCATACTGCGTTTTTCTTCTATTAAATCTCAAAGTGCTTTAACTAAGACAGAATAAACACGAAGGCCACAGAACACTGGTTCACGGTGCATATGAGACAGCAGACTGTTCCCAGAGGTGGGATCAGGTCTGTCTTCCTCTAAACCTTTCCCTGACTCGTTAGAACTCACCTTCTGCAGCTGAGGCAGAACCCTGCGATGCAGAAGCAGCCCGTGTTTGTTCATAGATAGACAGCAGCTCTTCATCTTCCACTGCAAAGTAGACTGGCACAATGGTTTCCATAGCAAGCATTTCTGGCTCTATCTCCATGAATTGCTGAGAACGTTAAGTGAGACACAAACTTAGCATCCACTAAACATGCAAGAGGGCAGAGGAAAATTAACAGCAAAAGCAGAATGAGAAAGGTAAGTTTTAAAATTAGAACACGATTTGTTGTGCATTACAACAGTAGCTTTCAGTCCTGCAGCAATCCAAGCCTCTCCCCCCCTCAAATATATCTCCCATTAAAAGAGAAAGGGAATGGTTTGGTTTTTTTTACCCTTACAACATCCTGTGGGACAGAAGAGATAGACTGAGGCAAGATGATCACCACAGCACCAGCTGACTGGCGGAGAGCCTTCTGATACTGCTCATAGGAGAAATCCACCAGACGCATCATGACACAGCGGCGGCTCAGGACATCCGCTTCTACAGTGCGGGCTTCTGTGTTAAGCACTGCGCTCCTGGTGCCTGTGAGGAGAGAAGAGAAAGAGATTTTGTAAGTGATTTAATCACATTCCCTTTGCTGGAGCCTAGCTCCTTCTCAGAACAGTCTTTGTGACAGTGTGATGAACCTCAGAGCAGCTAGGACCTGCAGAAAGGTAAGTTCATCTCTTCCCCCTCATCCAAGAAGGAATACAGATCTGAGTTTTTTCTTTGCATCCATCACATCATTAATTTATCTCTAACATTAGTTTGGTCTCATCAAAGGTCAAATTACCTAAACAAGAGAAATTTGTAAGTCCTCTGCATAGTATCAGTGAGGGCCGTACACCTAGAAAGGGATCTACATTCTCCACATAAAGCTCCTACACTGTATAACAAACAAATATTAACAGCAGCCCCTCCCTGGTCAGACAAAGACAATTCATAGCGAGGATAATCCCTCCACCATTCCCAAAACAATGATGTGTAAACACAGCAAAGTGCAGATACAGAGTTCTGCTCCCAGCACAACCCTCTGACATCTGAGCAGAGCAGACCCAATAGCATTTTCTGGCAACATGGCAAGACAAGTTGATTTTCTGTAGTCTCTCTACAGAGAACTGTTCAATAATCATTCATCTACGATCTACAGCTACTCTATTCTGACAGTATCAGAGAAGGTCAAAGTTTGTTCTTAAATTGCTCTATGACTGATGTTGACAAAAAAAACTCTTCTCCTCCCTGCAAGAAAAGGCTCAGCAGCAATCTCAATTTAGTCTTTTTGGAAAAGAAAATGAGAATCTGGAACAACAAATAGCTTTTATCCTGAAGGACATCTGGCCTCAGAACATACATGGAACAGGAACACTAGCTACCCAAAGGGGCTGGCAAGGAACAAAGGAAACACACAAAACAGAAAAAGAAACAGCATAAAAAGTTAATTGCAGGAACCTTAAAAAAATAAAAAAAAAAAGTGGCTTTTTGAGAGTTCACAGAGAGAACACTCAGGCAACCAAAGTCAGCTAAAACACCCGCCTGCCGCCTCCATTAAGCCTGCCAACAGATTTACCACCGCATGAGAAAAGAGACGTCTCCCAGGAGAGGGTCTGTCTCAAATCCAGTGAGGTTCTCAACAGAGGTCTCAAGATATGGACGCATTTGAGAAACTTTGACAGAAGAACCCAGAAATCATTTCAGATATTGAGAAGGCACCAGCAGCATCTGCAGTGTTTACAGAGCATGCAGGCATAGCCAGCGCTTCGTCACGTCTACTGATGTTTGATCTTATGAAGATATGAAATATCTAGAGACAGTCTCTCAGACAGTACAGAATAACTGTGGGGCTGTAATGCCAGATTGATCTTAACATAAGTCTGAAACTTAGGCCACAAAACAGAGAGCAGGATCTGCTGCGCACGAACGGAACACAAGCCCTGATCAGGAATAAAATATCTGTGGAAGACTCAGAAACTTGACTCTTGAGTTAGTGAGTACAGGGGGGGGTTACAACACCTCCGTGATTCGCAGAACAGGTTGTGTTTCTGACTCAGAGAAAGGTGTTGCACAATCAGCAGCTCGGAAGCAACAGAACAGAGGAACTGGGGGTCAATCATAAAGGAAGAACTGTAAAATAAAGGACTCTCACATGAGGAGACACTGGATCAATAGGCAGAGCTAACTGAGGCTGAAGAGCAACGAAGAATCAACCTGTCAACAGAGGGGTCAAAGGCAAGAGAACAAAACTGAGCTCACAACCAAGTTCCCCGGCAGCTGGACTACCTGAGCACAGGCAGCTCAGCCCGCAGAGACACAGGAGGTCCTTGCCCATCTCCAGGTCCCCATGTGGGAGCTCTCAGCACCCTCCTGCTCCGAGGCTGGGCAGGAAAACTCAGCCAGATGGGGCCCGGCTGCGGCCTCCCCTGGGTCTGGG